TTTCTTTTCTCTTTCTTCCAGATAAAAAGAAAAGATCAAGCAAATCGTAAAATCTAGCGTCTTTTTTTTTAGACAAAGAAGCTTATTCAAGAGAATGCGTCGTTGGCACACTGAACTACAAAATGAATGGATCGAACCTACGCTCCTATGAGTCGGTGTTTGAAATCGAAACACATATAGGCGCTAGTACCAGTCAAGCTAGCTGAATATCGGTTGGAAAAGTTCCAGTTATCCATTTCAGTCTGAAAGTCTTCTCCCGCTACGCACCTTGAAACATAGCTATTCAAGGCGGGATCGAAGGCTATTCCTTATTTCTTATTGATAGCCCAGAAAATAAAATAGAAGATTTTTTGATCAGGGTGCCCAACTCATAATTGGCAAATTTGTAGGTTCAATCCCTGCTGGATGCACGCCAATGGGAACGTTCCAGAAGTCTATTGGAGTCTTAATGTCAATCCATACATACATAATCAATTGGTATGGTCTATTAAGAGCATCTGAAAAGTCAAAACTCTCATTCTGATCGAGACTGAAACTCATAGGGAAGAAAATGGATTTATGGATAGAATCAAATATGCAGATTTATAGAAAAAAAGTATTGAACACATGTTTGTTCGTATTTGATCAGTTTATAAGTCAAACAAACAAAAATTATTGTTTTTCGTTTTGTTTGCTTATCAAACGAATCGAACTCGAACTTACTGGCGAGTCGAACACAAACAATTCGCAAACGGCGAGCTTTTTTGACAACCCAAGTGGTATAAATACCTCTTCTATTAAGGTAATATATATGAATTATAAGTAATTGGTATTAATTATTTTATTTCAAATCTAAAGAATTTTAATAATTAAAACTAATTATTTAAAATAATAACTTTAAAATTTTTATATTTATGATTGAATTTGATTAACAAAGATGTTGTTTTTAATAATATTATAAATTTAATTTAACTCAATAGAATTTATTTTAAATTAGTTTATAGAGACTTAATCAATTGTGCATTAATATATTATCATATATTATTCATATTTTAAATAACTCGGGCTAGTAAAACAACATTTTTTTTGTTTATATTTATATTTATTTCTTTTATTTTTAAGAAAACATTTCTTTTGTTTATCTTTTAAAAGTTTTATTTTCATTTTAAAAATAAATTAACCTATTTTTTTCAAATATTTTAGATATTTTGAATATTTTTAAAAACAATCGTTGCTATTGCACGATAGACTTTGACAAGATTGTAAATTGAGTTACGATAATAGGTTAATGTTACATGTCACATAACACAATAATGGCTATTGGACTAAATCAGTATTGGATGACATATTGAGGGGAGTGTTTGAATGCAAAAGGAAATCTGAATTTATCAAATGCAAAAGGAATAAATCCATAAAAAGCTTTCGGTTCGATTAAGATTAAATCAAGCTAAATCACTCCGAAGTGTTTGGAGACGAGAGAAGCAATAATCTGCAGGTCTGTTTTTTTCCTCACTTAAATTCGTTAAATCCAACTAACAAAAAGATTTAATAAATCGAAGTTTTACGTCGAATTTCATTCAAGACTTGGGCAAAATTAAGGCTTAAGTTGACAAACATGTTTTGAAATAAATTACAATAATGCTAGAGAGAGAGAGAGAGAGAGAGAGAGAGAGAGAGAGTACATTGATGATTGATGAGAGAGACTAGCGGCTCGGTGGATGGAGAATTAAGCCGAGAAGCCAGAGGAAAATGGAGGCTAGAGCCACCAAAACAAGGAGGAAAATCACAAGTCCGGCTAAGATAGTGAGAAGTGGGGGATCAGATCCAGACGAGCTGCTGCTGCATTTGCGTTCTCTGCTGGTATTGGAATCAGGTGGGTTGGAACCAGAAGCAGATATTTTCAGAACACCATGTTTCTTCAATTTTAATCCTGTAGCTTCTGCCAACCTGAATAAAAGAAAACATGGATAACTACATACAAACCACCTGAAACATTGATGTTTAGAGATTAAGCACCCAAGTGATTTTTTTGAACTACCGCATAGATATATTTACACTTGCCGACATCAAACTATTGATAATTTGATCAAAATGATAAACTTGAAATGGGGTTTTAGCATGAATTTTGATATTTGAGCAAGAATTTTAAAAATACATAACATAAGGTGGTTGATTTGTGAATAGCAATTTTCGGGCTGTCTGTATGTAATTGCCCCTAAAAAGAAAGAAAGGAAAAGGTTTATGAAATGAGATTTTCAAGATATTAAACAAGAAATGTTGAAGTTGGTTGGTGACACCGTTAAAATGTTAGGTATTACTCATATACCATATAAGGAATAGATGTTGGACCGAAGCGGAGCGAGCGAGTGTAGCAGAGCTGAACAAATGAGCCGAGAGAGTGATTACTCTATTGAAAATCATTGAATTTATATGATTTGGTGTTTATCTTCTAGATTTTAATGTGTCCTGATAAAATCGACTGTAGAAATGAAAACTACTATAAAACAGAATAATAAATATCTGATGAATGATATTTAGAGATGCTGAATTATATATGATATGGTAGTATATAGAGATGTTTGAATTCATTATTTACAATTTATCATATATAATGATCATGAAAATCACTAAATTAAAAATCAACTTATAATATGTGAAACTTTTCCGTTATACAATGTAATATTACTTTAATCTGAAATATATATTATACAGCTATAACATACGGGATTGTATCTTTTTTATTGTTAATGTTGCATGTCCAAATACCTTATTGTATATTTTAATTGATTGATCTTATTTGTTAAGTTTTAGATAGCATGGGTCTAAAGGCCAAATATTGGAGTCTAGAGAAGAAAGGTGTAGATATGACTTAAATTCAAGTAATTAAAGATATGTGTAGTAGAGTTGTTATTTGGGTTCAAACAAAAGGAGGATTGACCAAATATTTTCCTATTTCTGATGGATTACAACAAGGTTCAGCTTTAGCCCATATAATATTTTTGCTTTAGTTATGAATGCTCTTACTGGACATTTATAGGAGGATGTACCTTGGTGTATGCTTTTCACTGAGGATATCCTTCAAATGGATACGACTAGAGAAAAAGCTCAAGAAAAACTTACATTATGGAGGTCTATGTTGGAGTCTAAAATCCTTCATTTGAGTCGAACTAAAACTGAATATATTGAATGCAATTTTATTAGTAGTAGTTCTAGTGATAGAGTTGTAATTATGGTTGATCAAATTATTAAAAGGTGTAAACGCTTTAGATATCTCGGGTCTATTGTTCAAAGTGATGGTGATATAGATGGAGATGTTGTTAGTAGAATTCAAGTTAATTGGTTGAAGTGGGGGAATGTTTCGGGCCTATTGTGTGATAGAAAAGTACTGCTTAGACTAAAAGAAAATTTTGATAAGATGATGGTGAGACCTGCAATACTCTATAGTGTTGAGTGTTGGCCTTTAAAAGAGAAGCATAAAACTAAGTTAAGTGATGTTGAGATGAGAATTTTTAGGTGAATGGGTGGCTTTACACTTAGAGATAAGATGCGAAATGAATATATCTGTGATAGGGTTGGTGTAGCTCCAGTGACAGACAAAATTAGAGAGAGTCACTTTAGATGATTTGATCACATTAAACATCGACCGTCTGATGATCTGATTAGAAGAGTAGATGTTTTAGATTTGACTTATGTTAAGAAGGACAGATGTAGACCTAGAAAGACTTGGGCATATTATATAAAAATTGATCTAAATTTGTTAGAAGTAAATGAAAATATGACACACAATAGGACGCAATGGAGAAAAATGATACATTTAGCCGACCCCACTTGGTGGGATAAAGGCTTATTGTTGTTGTTGTTGTTGTTGTGGTTGTGTCGATCTTATTTGTTAAATTTGAAATATTATACTCATTATATTTTTTTCTCGTTGTCTTCATGCTAGAGTGTTTGGTGGACAACACTACAAGAGCAGACCTTCCAATACTATTATTTCATTTGGCATTTTCAAGTTTATAGTATTTTATATTTCTATTGTCTTTGCGTAGTTTGTGTATGTGTTTATTGCTTTCACTTTCTTTTTTCATTAATCATTATTATTATTTCTTAATTTTATTAGTATATGAACTCTATTAATGCAATAAATTATTATGTGCTCTTTTTTCGCTTATTCTTACTATTTATAATTGTTAAATATGAATGTGTTTCCTTCTGAGTATAAGAAAGGTTTGATTCAATCTCGGCTTTTAGAATTTATTTCAGGAGCTGAGATCAACCAGCTTATCGCATATCATATTGTCAGGGTGTAATGCCTTCTAAACCCAAGTGTGATACTTATAATCAACCAAGTAAAGCCGAAAATAACAAATCAAAGGCCCACAAGCAAGAAGCATACTCCTGAATTTTTAAAGCATTTCTAGGAATTAATTTATTTCCCCCGATTTAAACATTACAAATGTAACAAACAGAGCTAGCACTGGATATCCATCTTCAAAAAATTCTACTATTTATTTCCTCCTATATGATATCCATATATATGAAGCTAATAAAAAAGTTAGGTTCATCCACATTATCATTCATATATTTCAGCAACTGCAACAACAAATGGAGTCCTGATTTAGCACAAATCAAGTTAATTTTCTTAATTATGCATTTTGGAAGTGATAAGAGATCTAACCCAGAAAGCCAGAAAGCTCTAAATACAGTATTTGATAAATTGCAGTCACTAAACCATGTCCAATAATCTAGTTTTCCAACCAACTAAGAGAAAATTTAACTTGAAAACGCCTGTACAGTCAGTCACACGAGGCCGAATTATGAAAAGGGCAAGTCAGCCAATGGATAATTTAGAATTCCGGGCAATCGGTATGGGTGAAGAGTACATTTCAGGAAGCAGATCTAGTTACTATGTGCATTAACACAAAATCCAGTTACATTTTAGAAGTTACTTTTACAGGAGTTAGGATAGTAAGTGTTGTTCATCGTAACTTAGCAAAAGATAAGTAGACTGGTGAAACATTCAACATCAAGTCTATTAAGAAGGCAGTTCCAGTTAACAGTAGTCGACAACCTTTCTACTCCAATACTAATTAATGGCTCGTTCTGCAAAAGAACTCCATATTTCTTTTTCGTTCTTCCATAAGAAAGGCTTAGCTATAGGATAGAAATTTACATCAATAATCTAACTTAGGTTTATTCCAACACAGATTACCTTCCGAGGTGTCGAGAGGGTGAAAGGCGAGCGAAATGTTGGAGGGGATGAGCTTCTATAGGATCGGATGAACCTCGCCGGAACCCTAATACGGAAATTCCCCAACCACAGTAAATAGCCGACATCTTGTGCAAACAGAGAAGCGAAGCGAGGGTGCAGGAGAGCGGAGGAAAAATTATTCCATACGGACCGTAGATCACCTGATGGCCCCACCGAAATTTTTTTTTTTTTTATAAATAAAACATAAATAATCCTGGCCGTAGATCACCATGATCTACGGCTAGGATCGGACACCGCATGCAGAGATGCATGCACTGTCCGCACGCAATAATCTCTCAGAGCGGAGGGCCGCTTGGAAGTCGAAAAGGATAAAAATCATTATAATAAAGTTTAGGAGGATTTATGTCAAATTTACCCGAAATATCATCAAGAAATGTAAGAATCCCAAATGATTGGGATCAAATTCTTGCCCATGAAAAACTATGAAATTGGCAAAAGAATTTTTATACATATTTTTTCAGTTTATCACAATAAATTTTCATCGTTTTGCACAAATATCATTCTTTTTTGTACAAAAAATATTCTAATTCCAATTAAAATTTATCGTGAACCTTGATTTCAACAAATTTACAGTCAAACTGACCAACCCAATGAGACGGACCCAATGATGTCAAAATTAGTCTAGTCTGAGTTAAATCAAGCTCATATCAAAATATTTAATTGATTTTTGAAGTTTTCAAAACTTGGTTGAAAGTTCAAATGGATTTCAAATCTGACAAGCTCGCAATCGAATCAAGTGTACCAGCAAGATGAATCCAACAAGCCCTATGTTACTCAATTTTGACATCCTTAAGGAATTCAAGATTGACAGAGTGTTCTAGATTATTTTCTTATTTGCGGGAGGTCTTTTCTAGATTTTATAAATAGTGTCGTACTCTCTTCATGAAGAAGAACGAAAGATTAGTGCTTGAGTTAGAGAAAGACTGAGGCTTGGAGAAGAATGAGTTGAAGTACAGCATTATGCACTAATGATCTTATGAATGTTTCCTACTTTTATAGTTGTTGAACGATGTCGAACGCTATCGATCTCTGCTCACAAGCCACCGTCGATCACCATCGGCCACCACTGCTTCTTGCAATAAAGAGTTGAAGAATCATAGTGTGTGTTATGGCATCCTAGCTAGGGCTGTGAAATTGGCTTAAAGATCATAAATAGCTCAAAAATTGAATCAAAATTTACCTCAGATGGAAAGGCTCAAAATATTTGAGCCGAGCTACGAGCCAAATGAAAAGATCAAATATTTCAATTTGGTTTCTATCTGGACTCAACTCAGACATAAATCAGATCGATTTATAAATTAGATCGAAGCCTTGAAGCGTTGATGTCGCTTTTGCGTGAGATCGACGATGGATCTTGCTTGAATCGCGAATAACCAAAGCTGGCCCTTAATTTTGAAGCATTGTATCTTATATTCCTAATTCCTACTCAACACACCACACTCAAGCACCGCATGAAGCCCTAACGTTTCGGTATCTTCCTCTCTCTCTCTCTCTCTCTCTCTCTCTTTCTCTCTCTCTCATCATCATTAGCCTCTCCAGGCTCTCGCTTCTCACTCTCTCTTCGGTGGCTCACAGGATTTCAAGTGTTGGGTATGTCAACATTGGTATCGTGCGACTTTTTCTGTGCAGTGTGTGATATCTGGCTTGGTGAACTCATAATAGTCTTCTATGTATTGGAAGTCACAATGATCATTAACAATGATCATCCTTTTTTTTTAATTGGAAATTTTTTTTTTCTTTGGTCTTTTGGATTAGTTCTTATCAAATGTAATTTTCTTTATGTGACATTAATCAACCTTTTTTGGTGAGGTGTTGAGTGTAAGTAAGACTTCTTCAGGTGTTCTTCAACATGTTCATAGTGAAGCGAGAAAAGTTAAAGAAAAGAATTTCTGGGATCTCGACATGTGCTATTCGCGTCGGATATGAGAAGAAGGATTATGAAGTGTATTGTAAGTGTCTTTGTGTGAGCGTGGATAAAAAACTTCTGTGAGTTTTTTTGTGAAACTATCTGATTTTTATAGTAAATTTATGATGGTGTGGCTTCGTGATTTTTTTCCGTTCTCGGGTTTTGCCATGTCAAATTCTCGTGTGATTTTCTGGTTGATTAAATTTTGCATGTGCTTAAATTTATTGTTTCAATTTTTTCGAATTCCGTGGTTATCTTCCCACATAAGAATTGGATGTTATATATG